CTGTGCAGAAAAGAATTTGGGAATCACTTGGCTACAGAAAACAAATTGAGGAGAGAGCACACCTGCACATCTGCATTTACTTAGGAGTGGGGAGAAGTACAATCTGGGACAGCTGATGTATTTTTTTGCCTTTTTATATGTTAGCCAAGTGCTCTCACCACATATATATATATATATATGAAAATTGGAAAATAATACCAAGTTTACTGTTTTTTTTGTTTGTTTGTTTTGTTTTGTTTTGTTTTGTTTTTTAATCATGGTTACCATTTTGCTTTTTACAAGTAGCTCAAACTTTTTCATCTATACTCACTGCCGTCTTAAGAGACTTGAATTCCTTAGGCTGTTCAATTTTATTACAACTTAGGCAGTGTAACAGATATTTTGGGTGCCTAGAAACTCTCTGGTTACAAATTGCTGTGCTAATGGCATTAAGGCAATGCCAGTCTTACTAGATATGACCTTTAGTATTTTTATGAAACATAATTGCAAGGTGATGGGCTAGGAAAGCTATGTCTGCCATATACTTCAAGAAGCAATTTTACATGTCCAAAGGATTTATGCTGCCCACAAAACTGAAAAATGTCCAGTGAGTTTGCTGCAGTGTCAAGTGAGGACACCACTTTGACTTAGATACAACGTCAGAGTTTTGAAATATGCTTGAGTATTTTGAATTTGAATAATATTCTCCTTGCTGAGAGGTTTTAGCTTCAGTCATAGCTGCTAAAATATGTCTGCATGAAACTTTCAGTTGTGTCACTACACAGACAGAATTAAAGATTCATTTAGCCAGAGAGAATAAAACAGGGAAATCTTCTTTGTACTATTCAGTTAAACTTGCTATAGATAATATACATATATGTATCACTTATATGCACATATATTACGCATTTTAAGTACATAATATGCATACTGTTATATAAATATACATAGATACACATATATAATATATGAAAGTATTTAATATTTACACAAATATATCTGTATTAAATATATATATATATATATATTTGAAAGATGCAGCAAAAACTCTAATGTCAGCCAGAAAAAAGGCTGGTTAAGCTAGAAAAAGTGCTTGTTTTATGAAAAAGTAAAATTGCAATTCACAGCATTTTATGTAATGGTATACAAATTACCAGATACCAGAGACTGCATTTCTGGACCTGAATAGTACTAAAAGTTGCAACTAAGGGCAAATATAAAGACACTTGTTTACAATGCAAAGGCTTAGTCAGTACTATAAGCAATATGGCAATCTGCATAGCAGAAGATATAATGCTTTGTAATGTGATTTTTCCTTTACATATCAATTCTTACACACATGAGCAAACTCAACAACAGCCCCATTAATTTCAATCATTATAAAAAAGGAGAAAATACAGGAAATAAACCGATAAATTAAATAGGAATTAATGCATAACTGAAATATTTACACAGTTGTATATTTAGCTTATTTACTGGGTGGTAGCTCTATTTTATAAAGACATCACTAAAGCATTTAAAAGTGCACTAGAGATGGGCTGGCAATCCTGTTGCCAAAGTTGCTGGTAACGCTTCCATTCTTTTCAGTTATGATTTTGTCAAAAACACAGTCTGAAATTATACATGCTAGGTGTGTGAGTGACTTCTCTATGTGTGTGTGTGACAAACTCCAACCAGAACTGCTCAGCTTTGTCAAAAATGCACCCAGAGGAAAGCACTGTACGCCTCCCAAAAAATCTGGGTGCCCTCCCTTAAGATGCAATGGAAGAGGGACTTGAACTCTGGAAAGGACAATGATAGGTTGTGATAAAGAGTAGTATCTCATCTACCCATAAAATGGCACTCAAATTTATAAGCATGTATCATCTGAGAAAGCAGCTGAGACAATTCCTCCATGTGGGCTTTCCTAGTACTGATTGCTCTCTATGATAAAGAGCAACGTGAGTCTGTCCCTCACGTTCATCTTCGGTTTCGTTCCCTATGCACCCATGGCTATGAGTGCATGAAGAAGTGAGGAGTGAGAGGACAAGAGAAGGACTAGGAAAAAGGCTGGCTGAAGTAAAGGTTTGCTGAAGGAGAGGATCCCCAAAGCTTGGGATGAAAACTAATGTTCCTGAATTTCATTATTCTGCTGTCAAGCAGAGGCTAAGAAATCTCCTGGCAAAAGGAGATTTAACCCATTTCTCTGCAGTCTTCTATTCTGACTATTCCAGCATCTCAAATGGCCAAGATGGGTGAAATGAATTCAGCTCCAAGTCTGCTCCTCTCAGGTATCACATGGTGTATGTCCATTCCTTTGCTTTTCAGAAAAATGGAGACTTGAAAATAAATGAGGAAAACATGCACAAACACATACAAGCCCTGCACTCATTAGCTGTTTAAAAATTGGCAATACTTCATGAGAAGAGTGGCAGAATCAGTGTTCAAAAGTTAAAAACTGGTAGAGCAGCTGCTTTGGGATGTGTGAGATATCTGCTGAACTAGAGACAGGGGACCTGAGCAGCACCCTTGCCTGCTTGTGCCTGCCTCTTCCCACAGGCAGAGTCCTCTGGGAGGGGAGAAAGAAGAAAGTTTGATAAATGGGTAATTCCTATCATCATAGCAAGATGTCCTGATGTGATGTGAAGCACAAGTGAACATCTCATAGCTGCCAGTAAGCTGACCCTGAAGTCACTGGAGCTCTGCTATGAACATGAAGGGTGTAATATTGGTCAAATATTCTGAAAAACGAAGTTCTAGATGTCCCAAGCAGGACACCCAAAACTGTGAAAACTTGATTTCACAATGATTTAGCTGTGTTTTAAAATATGGACAATACAAGCTTCTCACTCCAGACTGTTACTGACTTTAACACTAAAACACTGCTGGGATGAGGAGCACAGAAAATCCTGTAAACAAGCAAGGTTAAACAAAATGCAGTAAATACAACACAGGAGCTCCCAGGGTGAATACCTGATTATAAGCGTGTGAAACGGGACACACACGGAGTGTGGTATAAAGTTTAAAACATACCATGTGAGCAAATCATTAATATTGTATTAATGTAGTTTTGGAAAAGGTATGTTACTTTTGACATGTCTTAACTTTTGAGAATGAGGAATCTTGGAATCTTAATAATATTCTCTAAAAGTAGCTTTTATAGATCATTATATAACACACGGACATAAAAGATCAGATGGATTCCAGACAGTCTAAATAATGTATTATATATATTTCTTTATGCTTACATGCTTGTCTAAAGAACTACAACTCTTGTGGTGCCATATAAATGTTTAATAATGATAATTTAGAATATACTGACATAATATTTCATCTGGGTATTTTACATCCTTATTCCAAAATGGATTTGCTTTAGTTACATATCAGCTCTCTTGGATTCATTGAATGTGTTCACGAGAGTAAGCAATTAGTACTTAGCTTCATTAAGTTTATATTTTGATACTTTCCACGCTAGAGGAAAACATTACATTATGGGCAGAATTTAAATAATTGCTTAAAAGTTAAGAAAACGCTTCAGTGCTTTTCTGACTAACAACAAATTTAAGTACAAATGGCTTCATGCACTGAACTGATCAACAATCTTTTTTTCTAAAAATAAATCACAGAAAATTTCAGATTTTTTCTCTTTCAAAAAAAAATATTAAAATATCTTTTTTTATATATATGCCATTTCAAAATTAAGCTACATAGAGTGTTATGTAAAGAGTCCATGATGTGCTGAATAATGACATTCAAGTGAAAAGTTGGCTTCTTGCATTTCTTCAAAACTGGAATTTTTTGGCTTTTTAGAGCTATTTTCTGCCAATAAGCAGGCTATTTAAAAAAAAATTGTTTGTGTGTATGTGGTACCCTTTCTGAAGTCATTAAGTATTTCTAGAACCAAACAGCCCTAACACAGAAATTAAAGGTACCCTGTAAACCACTTTAACTAAATGCATTAGTATTTATGATGGTAGCTAGAAAATTAAAATGCATAAGACACAAGACCCAAAAATGAATGAGGTAACACCCATATTTCAGACTTTTAAATTCAGAACAATCACTGACCAAATATTAATATAATGTAGAAAGATGCATGAAAGGTCCTTGTATGATTAAAAATATAGTCTTCCCCATAAATTATGTACAAATTAAAACAATATACAGAGAAGTATAGTGCAGGACCAACCACCTCAAAAACATTTGAAAGTAACAAAGAGTTCTACTCATGTCATATATGCCAGTCTTTCTTACTGCTATCTTTGCCTCCAAAACTAATTTTATTTATGTAAGAATAAAATATATCTAAATTTGTTTTGACAGACCCAAACTAAGTGATTCTAATTGGCATGATTCTGAAGTCACTTAATTGTTTTTTCACACTGACACAGTGCAGTAATTTCACATTCTTCTGCATATATTAGAGTCTGTTACAAATTTTAAAGAGTCTGTTACAAAATTATGGACACTAAGAATGTTTGTATAAATCAATTTAGAAAATTGCTACTAGCTGTGCACTGGGGATACCCTGGTGTGTTCCAGTATAAGAGCCTTATGGTGACCTGTGTTGTGATCACAAAAATTGCTTGCTGAATGTAAAATGGAAGTTCACATTTTCTTATGAAAATCTTCTATGTGAGCTGACTTTTTCTGTACTGTGACTGCAAGGTAAAAAACAGTACTTAAAAAAACCCCAAACCGAAACTAAGCATTTTGTTTTGTTTTTTTTTTTCCCTTATAGGTAGAACAGTGACTGCCTGGCATGGCATATTTGTTATATTGAGGTCTTTTTACCGTTATTAACTGCAATGACACTCCCAGCCTGGAAAAGTGCTGTCTATATGGCCGGAAGGGAAAGGATATCTTTTCATGGAGAGATGACTGTGTTTACTGAGCATTTGCACCTTAAACCTAAGTTTAAGGTGATAAGAAACAAGGTTATTTGCACTAAATACTACGGTGCTCAGCACCATATAAATGCTGAAAATCGTTTGCAATATGTCACTATATATATATGTGTATGTATATACATTATGTGTTACCTTGGATACAAGGCTTGCTCTGTAGGCAGCTAACTGCTTCAGATATTCCTTCTTGGCAGCTTCAGTTTTCTTTTTGTATACCTAAAAACAAAGAGTGTCACATTGGTAAATTAATCTGGTTTTGTTTTTATATATCACCGGTGTGTCTCATGCATCTTCATAAAGTCTTTCTAAGTAAACAGCCTTTCCTCCTCATATTGCTTAAAGAGTGAAATAATAAACATCAAATATTTTAAAGAAAATATTGTTCTAACTGTGAAACACCCTTTAACTACCCAGTAGTACTGAAAAAACAATATCCCTCATAGCATCTCAGGTTTAATTGTTCAAAGTGAAGCGCAGGGAGTACTTGCAAATGGGACCTTTAGGGACAGGGGAAGGCAGGCGTGGGCCTCTCCACTGGCTTCTACTTGTGAGATGAGTTAAAACCCTCTAGGGAAGATGAGAATGTGCAGAAAGACATCTGAACTAAATGAGCACGGAGATGACGGCACCACGCGGATCAGCCAAGAGGTTTCTCTCCTCCCTGGATAAACTGTTGGGGGCAGTCAAAGAAGCTTCATGGAGCTGCTAAGGATAATAAATGTTAGTCATTATTTCAGTCTTGATCCCATATCGGTCTAATTAACTTCTCAGGAGCATGGATCTATTTCTGTACATTTCTCTCAACTCACCAAATTATTTCAAATGTGGCATGTGCACAATCTCATAATAGATTAAAGAGCTTGGAGAATCACTTCAATTTTTCCCAAATTTCAAGATCAAAGATTATCTGCAGGGTTAGGCAGGACCTCCTATCATTACAGTAACATGATTTTAGAAAAGCATATGTAGATATTTAGGGTTGGAAGTTCTCAGGAGGAGAACCAGTTTCTGACCCATGGAGCCTTGCTAATGACTTGCTGTTAGCCATGTCAGTGGCAGATTGGGGAACAAGTCAGCATTTTTTCTCACTTTTTTTTTTTTTTTCTGAAAGGTTAGGAGACATGCAAGCATCTTGGCTTCATTTCTCCTCCAACTAAGCAGGATTGACTTCTTAGACATCCCTGTTTCAGGGGAAAGCTTAAAAACCATCTAACTGGAAGGTTTAAAAGTAAGGTAGACAAATGAAGGGTTATTTTTCAGAATTTTTAAGTCACATGCCAGAGGTAATTCATATGTTCATGGGCACTTGGGTTTCAAAATACTGCACAAAATGGAACTGTAGCTTTGAGTCTCTGCTGTCCAATTCTGAAGGCAAGTCCCCCTCCACACTGTCTAGTTAACTGGGATATTGATTCAAAGGTAAAAGATGTGCAAAGCTATTTATGAAAAATTTTGGGGTGTTTTGAATTCCACAGATGAAACACACACACACTCCCTGGAAGGATAAACTTTATGAAATTTTAAAGTGATCTCTTTTGGTCTTCCAATGCTCTAGCTGTCCTGTAATAGAGAGGACCTGGCAGCACAGCGTGCACACACAGAGGACAACACAGTTGCAAACGTAAGAGTGATAGTGTCAGGCTGGAAGAATCCAGTACAACACCATTTTTATAAAGAATGTGCTCATGAAACATTTTTTTGTTTCACTGAGGCTTTGCTTTCAGAGACAGAACAAACCCCAGATACCGGCTGGCAAAACTCAGAGGCTGCCTAAAAGGATTAAAGATTTTGCTTCCCAGGGAACCAAAAGATCATAATGGAAACAGAGAAGTCTTAGGCTTCTAAAATTGTAAAGACAAGAGAGGAAAAAAGATTGGTTTTAGCTGTGCAACTGTATCTGTGCACCCTTGTAATTTCCCCAGATTAAGATAAATATATAGTGTTGGCCGATCTCCTATTGTTTTGCAAAATAAATGGTAGCAATTTACTTTTTAAGTTGTAATCACTTGTGATTATTAGGGAAATGTACTGTTTGTTTTGAAAATGAATAAAAAATTAGTCAACAATCCGTTCCTAGCTGCTAAAATGAATTTAGCTTGACCTACAGAACAAAGACTAACTTATACCACTTTGTATATTGCAATGCCTCTGCATCATTCTGATAGCCAGTTGAAAACACAGAGCTAAACAAAGAATTTTACACAGAGTAATGACCTTCAAAAGTTTGTGTACCTACTGCTTCCACATTGGGTTTTATTTTGCATTACACAAATATAAAAAATATATACTCCTGCTGTGCTCTTACAGTCACAGCATATTGAAAGAGTCCTCTGGGACCTGACTTTTCCCTCAAATAATCATATTGCACAAGGTTAACTCAGTAATAGGAAGCTAACAGCGATTCTGTAAATCTCCATCTAAAACATCACTACTTCATAGGAACGTGATCATACAGTTGTTATTTAATTATTTCCTAACTATACATCTACCATGTTCAGTGTACACATTGTCTTGCCCTCTTCTCTTGGTCTTCTGGTGAGCCATTAATAGCCACATAAGCACCATGTTTTCCATGGTAATACAGACATCCACCATGTAATAGAAGGTAATTATAATAAAAATATAGTCCTTACTGGATGGGGAAAGGTGTTTGATGACCCCAGCCTGCTTTGATGTTTTGCATTGGACAAAATGGTCCCCACAGGCTGGCTTGTCTGGAGGAGGTCAGCTCACCCCACCTCATCCATGTGAGAGCATTGGCATGTCCTCTGAGGACAACAGCTTGAGTTCTCACTGTCAATATGCTGTTGTCCTTTGGAGATGCCCACTGTTTAGGTCAGCATAGAAGTAGGTTGATGATCCTCATGTTAGTTTTGGAAATTCTGATTGGTCCTGGCTTACACTAAAAATTAGGATAAGTTCTGCCTGTCAGGGGAGTTGTTAATTTTCATGAGTAAAAACAAGGTCTGGTTATCAATTTTCTCTGAAAAAAATGAATGTGGCCCTGGCAGCAGATACCAGTTCACTGACTTTACGCTAGACTGGACTTGTACTGGTGCCTTATTGAAGACAGGGTAAGTGGGGAGCATCCTCTGCATTTGCAGCAGCACCTCAAACAGGTACGAGCAAATCAGCTGCCCCTCCCAACCTGCTTTTCCTTGCAGCTGTGAGAAGTTTTAGCCCTCTGGCTTAAATAGTTTTGTGTTGTAGTAAGGATAATAGAGTTGCATCCTTGCAGCGCTTTTGGGGAGGAAAAAGGCTTGTGTCGTCATTCAAGGGTGCTCTAGAAAATGGCTGAAGCTCTTTTGAGTTTCATGCTTAAGACAGTGCCAAATTATGAAACACATCATTTCCAATAATACATTTAACATTTTTCCTGTAACAAGAAGCAGGCTTCTGTTCTGTTGCTTATCTATAGTGTATAGTGGCAATATTTAATTTTAACATCTCAGAAATCTTTTATAAGGTCATTTTTCCCTCCTCCGTCGAAGCAAGCAACAATTATTAAATAAGTAACTTGACAGGAGCATATACTTATGGAATTAAGTCATTTCTAGCTTGCTTTAATTCAATTAACATGATAATTGAATGTCAACTGATTGTCATTCAGGCAGTAAAGGCCCATTCTGATTCAGCAGCAGATTTGTTTCCTTACACAGTATTTTTTTTTCTATATTGTCCAGTTGTGGAAATTGAATGTTGCCAGAAAAAACATAATTTCTGTATATGCAGGGTGGGTCAGCTTAATTTATTCTTATTCTCTTTAGCTTGTTATAGAAACCCCAAACCACCAAGATTACATTCATTTGTCTACAAATGGAAGCTGCTGGCATTATTTTCCTACTCTTGCTTCACCAATGCAAATTTACATAGAATAATACACAGGTTCTTAGTTTACTATTTAATTATATTTCCAAAATGTACCCAGTAAGGTAGCTTCAAGTTCTCTTACACTATTCAGCGAAGAATGCAGCAATATAGAAGAAGATACTTTCCAAAAGGAGTAAATATGAAAGTCTACCTTGTGCATATAAGTATATGAGATAGATTGAATTAGGCCACCGGGGAAAACAAATGCTTTGGGCTCCCCCACTGTTAATCTAACAGTCTGGGACCAGCCCCCAGGCCTTCGCAATGGCACTCTTTAGCTCAGGTTCCCTGGGCTGAGCATACATGTGGGCTACAAGCCTACACTGAGGGCTGAACATTTTTTGTTAAGAGTGAAACACATCCTTAAACTGACTGCCCCACAGTTTCATTTGGAGATAGAGGGGTTGTGGGCTATATGGTTAGCCACAAGCACTCACAAATACTAGATTTACCAAATTAAAACCACAGTAGAACCACACTTCTGTTTTATGATGCCAACTTCTGGTCATGTTTTTGCTTCATGTATTTTAACTGCTGATTAGTTCTTGTCTTCTTAGATCATAAATTTCTTGAGGCAGGATTTGTGTCTCCTGTGCTCTACATGTTGGATAATATGAAACTCATCGCTGATATATATACATATAACTGAAATATACCTGTAATGCCTTGAGCCAAATTTTTGTTCTGTTAGTCATCTTTTCCCAATGAACTTCCTCTCAACTTGTTTGTGGAGGATTATCAACATATCACAACAGTACGCAGAAGGGCTCCTACCCTGTCCCATGTGGCTTGCACCCTTGTTCCCTTAGGGGAACAGATCTTCCTTTCCCTAGTCATCATCACAAGAGCCAAAACAGTCAACTCAAACATCTGCAGACATGTTCTCATTTTTGAATATTAGGTGCTAACAGAAGAAGGCACCACTGACTACAGTCCCCACTAGAGACTTGGAGACTGAGTTAAACTGAATTAAGCTCTTAGAAGAAAAAGACTTTCAACATCCGTGCCCCATAGTAGTCTGAAAAAGCTTTCTGTCTCCTAGCTGACAAAGCACACTGTGAAGAACCATGCTACTTTCCTTGGCTTTGCCTGAATAGCTGGTACAAGGATGCAAAGAAAGGGAAGTTTTCGGTTTGTCTTGTGGATGTCTCCTTAGAGCTGACACTTGCAAGCAAGCTATATTTGTCTTTTTAAAATGATGTAAAGGTGCCCACATTTGTTTTGATGGAAATGTTCCAGAAACCCCCCAAAATAGTATATGCAAAAATAGCAAATCAAAAAGCAACATGACTGATTTTGTCTTTTTGGTCTCCACAGTGCTATTACCCATGGGAGTGTCATTTTCA